GAAAGGAGCACCATTCCTTTTCGGACCTCCTTCTTGGATAGCTTCCTGAAGTTATTTTAAATCACACAAAAAAACAATGGCAATCAATCATTTTCAGTCACTGAGGTATGTAGAATAAAGCTCTGCAGACAACAGCGTAATTTTTTACAAAACAACCAAGCAATTCCTGTTAGTTTTGTCAACAAAAAGTCAAGCGGCTAAGCTAGTAACTTTTTTCAGCAAATGATGAAGTTGAAATTATATAAAAATTTAGAATCACAGCAATATGCCGCTTATGAATCATGCAAACGTAAATTTACCGGATCGAAATTGAAGCTGTCTGACCGGATCGAATGTTTCTTACGGCCATTCGCTTGCGATGAATTGATTTCACCGGAATTGGAATGAACTCGCCTCGTAAGTTCGGTCCAATCACCATCGTATCATTCAGCGAAATCACTCCTGCAAATTACTGGACGGATGACCGCCTTTCAAATATGCCATAACAATAAGCAATAAAACTTTCTACGTTACTGTCTCATTAGAGCAGCAGGTGATTAGGAGGAAAACTAACCGGCCAGGCATGTGCCCGAAACAACTGTACCGACGCCATCCACCCAATATACATCATCGATTTGAAAGTGAGGGGGGCAATTCTGCTCGAACTTCTGACGCAGAGGAATGAGATTCAGAAATGCTCGAAGCAAATCTAAATTTGTACCAACAACATTCGACACTTGGAAAACCGGGCAAACCCTGAAAATACAAACGAAGAAGAGCTGAGGAAGCGAATGAGCACAGAGTAGCATACTTCAGAGAAAACAGGGCTAGTTTTTTTTTTTTTTTTTAACTGAATGATAAAACTCACGTTCCCGCGCTGAATGTTGTCGCAGCACGCACAACATCCTCCATTCGTCTGATTGGGACCGTAAATTTGCGAGCCCCTCGGCTTTTCATCAACTTCTCCAGACTGCTCATGGTTTCCGCGAGAACCTTGAAGAACAGCATTCAAAACCAAAAGCACCCTCGAATTCTGACAGAACAGAATAAGTGACAAAGATCTTTTTTTGTCTGCAAGACCATGAACTTAAAAAATTCGCTTGATTTGGAAAAATTAGTGGTTCATCAAAACTCTCAACAGCACTGGGTATAACAAGATTTTTTTGTCGATGCAGATTTTTAAAAATTTGCGCTAAACTTACTGTTCCCCTTCCCCCGCCTTCCTAATCTATAAAAGCAATACTGAGAGACGGCAGCAGTTATCCAAACCTAAAAGGCATGGTCCAAACCTAAAAAGCAATGCATGTGTATTGAGCGACCAAGTGGCAAATTCATTATTTCAGAGCCTTATATTTCATGTGTGTGCGAAAACACGCAATAAGCAGGCAGCGTTCCCTTCTCTTCCGATTCGAAAAAGGAAAACACAACACAAAAAACGATACCTTCTCGGGGCACATGTCGATCTTGGTGACCACAATGAATATCGGTATGTCGAGATAGAGAGCAAGCGAAAGATGCTCCTTTGTCATCCCAACAATCCCCGCATTTGCACCTATCTTCAAACAGCATCTTTAATAGTAGAAACAATTGGAGGCGGGAAAGCAAACATGAACAAAGAGCCTTAGCTTCTTCCATGATTTCGAGGCCCTTTTTCTTTGTTCGTGTTTGCTTTTTTTGCGGTACCCTATGCTTTCTGCATATACAAACCAGCTAACCACATTGCAGTCCGGCTACACGAAAAATCGGCAAGGAACATGCGTTTTTTTGCACCTACATTTTGCAGACAGGTGTAATGTGTTGCACAGAGTCAAACTAGGCTTCGCGGCTGCGTGAACAAAGTCCTTGCAACATGTGTAGTAGGGGATGGCTTGTATCAGAGGGAAATTTAGTTAAATCGAAAACATTCTACAAGAGTATATAAGCCAGAAGTTCCTCATGGTGTTAAGATGAATTAAAAATTGGGCACAGCTACAGAATGAATGCTTATCGATAGTGCAAAAGTAGACGTACCAGCAACATGGCATATTCAGGGACATGTCCAGTCATCCCAAAAATTGTCGTCTTCAGATACTTCTCGTGTCCGGCCAGATCAAAAAAGGTAACAACCTGCGGAGTAAAACAGTCAAACAACAGAGGAGGAGAATTCTGCACAAATGCATAATGAATTTCACAAAAGCGCATGTGGTGCAAAGCAGACCTTCGCCGACTGTTGACAAATGGAGAGCCAATCCAGATTTCCGGTGTGCGAATCCGGATTATTAACCACATTGCCAACCGCATCAAAGCCCAGAATGTCATTGCCAACGGATGAGGTTCGGCCCGACTCGAACTCATGCTTGTGTCTACAAATCAACAACAGTTCACCCAGTAGCCGACAAAGCTTAAGTGCAGTTAGTTAATGCTCGCTTCTCAACGATAATCCCTTTTCAGACACAAAACAGACGTCATTAAAAGCCAAACAAATTGTAGGCCATACCGGAAGAGCTTCTGACGAGCCTGACCACGACCATCATCCAGCGCTCCATGGGTGAGAACTCCAAGCAATGTCGATTTACCCGCATCGACATTGCCAACAACAGCCACGCGTACCTAAAACGTGGAAATTTTACTCGCTAGCTGAAAGCACGTGAGAATTCAGCTCAACAGTAAATAAATACGGCTAAGACAAAAAAAAAAAAAAATCCAGTGAAAAGCACCTCAATAAAGTCGTCCGGTGTAACCTGACTTCGAACCAGATATGCGCTGTTGCAAAATTTTCGCTGTGTCTCAGTGACCAGGCGTGTTGTAATCAGTCCGAGGGCTCGCATAAGTTCAACATGTTTCTCTTGCGCCAACTCCAGCTGTCGCTCCATCATACCTTCGATGGAAAAATGAAAATTTTTGATTTAAAAATTTTTGGCATAAATCAAATTCTCGTGAAATCATGCATACGACAAAATAGCTTCTACATGTTTTAGAGCATGACATGAATCAAAAATGAGAAAGAGGAAACTAGAAGTTTGCACAGAGAAAATTACATGGGGGAAACAAACTCACTGATTACGTGTGTTTATCGAAAACGGCCTAACCTCGTTCCGTACATGTGTCAGATGTAACGCCCACATCAATGACTGCTTCACCGCCGCCTTCAACAACCAGCTCCTGGACGTAAGCGCAATAGCGATTTATTTTTTCGACGGCGTCGTCGCCGGTGAGCAGTAGCTTGATGAGGTAATCCTTCTCTATTTTGTCTTCAGCAACCGCATCTGCAAAATTCACCGG